GTATATATGTACAGGAAAAAACACAGTCTAAATAGGGTTTGGGACTATCTGAGGTTTTAGGCATCCACTGGGGGTCTTGGAATGTATCCTCTGCAGATAAGGTCGGGGGGGACTACGTATTTCTTCCTCTCTTTTCCCCACAGAAAACACACATACCCACCATAGCTCCTATCTACCAGGCAAGCCCTCGAGATTTATGTTCCGTCAAGGAGAGGGCTGGTTCAGGGTTAGGGGTTCCTAATGAAGGTCCAAAAAGGATGTCATGCTTCTAGAATGGGAGATGTTGGCTGAACCTTCTGCTTGAATATTCCTGAGGATGGTTTCCTGCAATCAGTTAGAGTTGGGGACCTTGCTTATTGGTGCCAAAACTTATACTCAATCAGTATATGTAAAGAATCTGGGTCCCATGATGATAGAATCAACCAACCAACCAAACAAAAATCCACTTTTAAGAAGACATTTACAGCCAGCTGTTATGTATGACATTTCACGAGTTTTCGAGACATGAAAGAAGTCTATCAGTAATGATAAGAATAAATTTTTTAGCTATGTCTTCAAAGAAACAAAAAGAATAATGTATTGGTCACATCCTGTGTTCTCCTGAGCCAAATGCTTATCACCTTGATGGCACGTCTATCAATACAGGATCTGCAGACCAGATTTCTAAAGTTCCTTCTCACTTTAAGATTCTAAAACGATAGGAAGGTGGTTCTCAAAGCATAGAACAAGGACCAGCAGCATTAGCATCACTTAAGAACCTGGTAGAAATGCAAATTCCTGCCCCCTCCACCTCCTCAGAAACTCTAGGATGGGCCCAGGTGTCTGTGTTTTAGAAAGGTGTGGTAGCCAGGCTTCAGCAGGGGCCCTAGGATCCCTACCTGGAGTTCCCATCTTTGGGTAGTTCCATCCCACAACAACGGGACTGACTGATGTAACAAACAGAATGTAGCCACGGTGATGGTGTATGACACCATAAAAAGTACTGTGGCCTCCTCCTTGCTCTCTCTCTTGGATCGCTTGCTGTAGGGAAGCCGGCTGCCATGTTGTGAGGACTTGCAAGTACGCCTAGAGAGGTCTCCGTGGTGAGGAATCGAGGCCTCTGGCCAACAGCCATCTTGTGAGTGAGCCACCTAGAAAACAGACCAACCAACCTACCTCCAGACAGCTGGAATGCAACCTCATGAAAGAGCATGGTGAGCCATCCAGCCAATCTGCTCCCACAATACTGACTACAGAAACTGTACAAAATAATAAATGCTGATTCCTTCCAGGAGGTGAGTCTTGGGGTACTTTACTTCATGGCCTTAGCTAACTAATACACAAACCCTCCAGGTCATTCTGACACATGCTGAACTTGAGCTGAACTGAGCTAAAACATTCATTCATTCTCCAAATAATTATTTCTTGTACTTCCAATGCGCTAGGCTACGAGCATGAACATGGTGGGCAAAACAGATACTTCCCAGCCCTCGAGGCAGCCTGTTCTTTTCCTTCATTTGCACAGTTTGTGATTTTATTTTATTTAGGGAACACACACTTATGTAATGTGGGTGACCCACTGCACCGTGAGTTCGTGGTGAGCAGGACCTTTGCCTGGTTTCTTTCCCGCTACCCCTGGGCCTCGCCCGGTGCCTGCTACATAGGAGGTGCTTAATAAATATCCACCTAGTGGCTTTTCCCTTCCATCTTTCCCACCTTCCTCCAATATGATGAACTGAGGCCCCAGGAACAGGCCTCTGAAGAGCAACCAATAACAATACATTTAAGGGTTCAAGGTGTGTTCCCCTGGGAATCTAAAGGCCATTGGCTATAAATTTCCATAGAAAGAAATGTCTTGTGTGTTCAAAACGGTCAACTTTTAGAGTCCCTCTATTTTACACATGCAGATTCATAAACACATACAAGGAAAATATATGCAGTGGGTTTAGAAATAGAAGTAATTAAATGTGAGACTATTTTCCTGTACAGATGTGCACATCAATAAAGCACAGGGACTCATCTTGCTTTACCTCCAGGTGGAGTCCTGTGGTGATAAGGAAAGCAGATTATCAGGAAATTGCTCTTTTCTGATACAGGATGTCCTGCTGACCCCCATACTTGTGCAGAACCCCCTGCTGTGCGCCGAGAAACATCCTGATCTCACTGACCAGCTCTATGATGGGTTCTTCTGTTCAGTAAGGGACAGGAGAGGTTAGTGTTGGAAATAAGGTGGTGAGATAAGAAGTCAATAGTTTTTTTTTTCAACACGACCTTAGAACACGAAGGAGTATTTAGAGAACACTTTTTTTTTTTTTTTAATGTAGGCTCCACACCTTGCATGGAGCCCAATGCAGGGTTTGAATTCATGACCCTGAGATTGAGACCTGAGCTGAGATCAAGAATCAAATGCTTAACCGACTGAGCCACCTGGGCCCCCCTGGAGAACACTTTTTGATAACAGAAAATAACTCACTGATTTTTAAAAATTCTTATGGCAGAAAGTTTGAGATGTGAGTGACATCATTTTACCAATACTTAGGAACATCAGAGAGGTTATAAAACAGACTCTGGCTCTCAGCATATTTCTGAGCAAGATCCAAGAGGAGGCAGGCCAATTGCAACATCCGCGGGGTCTTCAGAGGGCGAATGGTGCTCTGCTGGGCACAGCTCACACAGGCTGCCTCTCCTGCCCATCCTTCTTGAGGGCTCATGCTGAAATCTGGCCAGGGACGAGAGCAGCAAATGAAGGTGATGATGGCGGGCTGTGTCTTCTGCGACATCGGTATCCCCAGTCACAGAGCATAGCCTGCCCAGCGGGAACTTAAGACTTCCGTAATTACCTGCTTGCTCTTTCTCATTCTTCTGTGACTAGCAGAACTTCACAGCGCCATCCTATACAACTGCATGCGATGGAGATGGTCTCCCTCTGCACTGCCAGAGCACTGGGCTAGTAAGACCTAGAAAGGAAGCCAGTGCTTCCTGGAGCTTCTCTCTTATTTAATCCTAATTAATTTAAATGTAAATAGCCCCCTGTGGCTTGCAGCTGTCACTCTGGGCAGGACAGTGGTAGAAAACAGTAATCATGGCAAATGGGTGCACCAACTCATCTTGAGGAAGATTTTGTCATTCTCATCTCTTCTAAGAGCGCAGGGAGGCCAGGCCCACAGGAGTGATTGACTTGCCCACGATCAAAAAGGTGGTAAATGGCAGAGAACAAGTCACGCTCCATCTGTCTGCCCCAGTCAGCACTCCTGCAATGCCATCAGAGTGCATTTCCCCTTCTTCACGTAAAAGACGCCTCAAAGGCAAGCGTCAGTCTCTGAAAACTCCAAATTCTCAGTAAATAGGTATGAAAGGAAGCTAGCCATATGCGGCAGGATTCCTTCCAACAAAAACACATGGGAAAATGTTTCTCTCCAGCTATGAGGATCTAACTTGAATCTTTCAAACTACAAGTTTGAAAGTATATCTGACAGCCCCCACTGCGCTCGAAAACTTTTGCTTCAAGCAAGTGGTAGCCCCATGAATTGGTGAGAAGGCAATAATAAGAAAAAGATTTTATTAAACTTCTGCCACATCCTATTAAGTGTGCTTCTATCCTACTTAACCTTTGCTGACAAACTAGATTATACTTTCTTTCCTAAATCAACAGGATCCCATGAAATTGCACAGAAGATAAAGTACCTAGCATTTCAGGACTGATTTGGAAATAGAGTGTCAAAGGCATGACTTTAAAAGGGCGGTTAGCTATGCCTAAGGAAAATAATCTGCAGTCATATTGTAAATTCTGTCTTGAATTCTATGTAAAATATTTCACATTATTGTAATACCAGAAACTCACTCCAAAATCCACAAGCCTCAGTTCAGATACTTGAAGGTCCTGTATCCATAACCAGACGACTACTGGCTCCATAAATCTCTCCTTTATTCACAGAAACCCACAGTGCAGCCCAAATTAAGATGCAGGGTTGTAAATTCATTGAAATTAGGGTGGACAATGTCACAGTTTTTTGTGGACAAAACTAATATCCTTCTGTTCTATTACAGTTTTCATATTGCCAAGGGGATCGAAGCTATTCCTTAATATTACCCTACTTGGGTAAAATCAAAGAGATAATGGGATGATTAGCTGAGGCATAGGTAAGGAAATGGGGTAAGACCACAGATTTTGAGGATCAGAGCCTGGTTGCGAAAAATATATATAATAAGCCAAGTGTAATGATCCTGTTAGATAAAACAATCCATTTTTTAGATTAGAACTAGTGCACTCTGGTAGCAAGAGCTGTAGAAAGTCCTAGAATTATTCTCATCAAAACCTGCACCTACTCTCCTGCAGCACATGACACTATTGTACAGTCACAAATTCACCTCCTCAATCTTGCATCATGTGAACAATGTGAATGGGTGAGTGGGTGGTGGGTCATAGATGACCCAGGTGGGGTCTATGTGTCCTCCCTTTGAATCCCATGGGGACTTAACTATTCTGACCCACAGAATACAGCGCAAGTGACATTGTGCAGGTCTCTAGGCCTCAGCCATAAGAAACTTGCCGGGAGCCCCGAGTGTCTATTTAAGAAGCCCAATTACCCTGAGACCACCATGCAAGAGACCATGTGCAGGCACAGAGTCAACATTCCCGGCTGAGCCCACCCTCCCAGCCATCCACATCAAGGGGGCCAACCATGGGAGGGAAGCCATTCCAGGAAGCAGCTGAGTACCACCAAGTGACTCCCATTGATGCCCGTGGAACAGAAGAATCACCCAGCCAAGCCCACCAAAATCAAGACCCACAAAATCATGACAGAAAATAAAATACTTCTTGCTTTACACCCTGAAATTTGGGGGATACTTTGTTATGCACCAATAGATAATCAGAACAGAGTATTTCTACTATCTTCAGCTAATCTATGCTTCCTCTAAAACCACCTTCTAATTGTTCTGATTAAATAATGTAACTGTACATTTACTAAATACTAAGCCTAATCCTGCCGGCCTGATCATCCGTTCTTATATACACCTACCAATGAAGCCGGAAGATGGTGGGTTGGGCTGAATCTTCTCCTTGGTGTTCTCCTGGATAATGTCCCAAAGCTGCCATATAAATTTTGGATGAAGAATGTAAAATGGCTGATTTGGGTTTCTCTGACGGTGCTGAACATATGGAGTGAACAGGTTGTAATCTGGCTTCTTGTACCACTAAGAAAAAAAAAATCAACATAATTAAGTACAGAGCACTACAGTGAGAAAAGGAAACAGGCAGCACTCAGGTGGGGGCAGAAGCTCCTTCCAGGCTGAGGGAACAGGAGGGGAGTGAGGTGGTGACTGTCACGTCTTTAGGTACTGCCTCACTGGAAGAGGGAACCAGAACAAAGAGAGATAGGGTTCCAGCCCTGGAGGATGGATCCTTTGTTCTTTAGGGAAATACGGGAGATGAGGTAGGGCAGGGGTGCTGGACTCTTCTGTAAAGACCCAGACAGTAAACACTTTAGGCTTTGTGAGCCACACAGTCTTCTGCAACTAGTCAATTCTTCCGTTGTACTGACAAAGCCACAGCAGAGAGCACGAATGGGTGTTATTGCGTTCCGATAAAACTTTATTTATAAAACAGGGCCACATTCGGCTGACGGCTGTAGTTTGCCGACCCCTGGGCTCAATCAGTGTATTTCAAAAACATATTTTCTATATCAATTGTATAGTGACAGAAAGCATGCCAGTTGTTGCCTAGGTCTGGGGTAGGGGGGCCCAGAAGACTGACAGGTGGGGCGCCAAGAACTCTTTGGAGTGATGAAAATATTCCATTTCTTAACTGTGGTGGTGGATACATGACTATATAAATTTGCTAATACTCATCAAAATGTATACTTCTACTGATTATACACACGTTATTGTACGGAAAAATGCACAATAAGGTTGATTGTTTTGTAAATGTCTTTAGAATGTCTTGGGTGCCGTCATGAAATGGGATTTGGAGGTCTGCGGGGGAGAGACTTAGCTCATAAGGCTCGGAGGGCCCCATCAACCCTTTGAACTGACACCTTGGGGAGATAGGAGGTATATATTAATCCCAAGTAATATTCCCTGGTTGGATGGATTCTGTGGCTTTAATAATTTTGAAAAGGACTAGGGCCCAATCATCTTTAGTACACTTTGCCCCCAAGCCAAGAGGCAGCAGGAGGAAAGCAAGAGGAGTATGGGCCTCAGTTTCCTCACCCCTTCCTCCTCCAGAGCACAGGCCACACAGAAAGCAGCCCTGCTGCCTGAATTTTGGCACTGTCATGCCCATGTCCATTGGGTTGGACAGCTCTGTGCCCTGGGCTTAGCTGCTTCCAAAGGAGGAAGAAACAAGGTCCAACAGCTAGAGGTCTCAGTCTGTCCACAAACAGCAAGAGATAGGTCAGAACTTAAAGCTAGAGAACTTCAATCTGGAAAGGAAGCTGAAGAGTTCCAACATGCATTTCACACTTGATTCTTGGTAGACGGTACCTGTGAGAATCGGCTGGAGAGCTTTCTCAAAAAATACACACTCAGGGTGCAGGCTACATGTCTGGAAATGGGGCTCTGACAGATACACCTGAAAAATCCTCTCCAGGTGATTCTGGTTTGTACTCCTAGTTAACAACCAGTTAGCAATCATGCTAGGTAAACGTCCAGCTTGGTCTCAAGATGAACAGTGACCAAACACCCCCAGAGGGACACAGGTGACCTTGGACAGCTGCTCTCTTGGAAAGTTACCTCTTGGTGGAGTCAAGATCTGTTCCCCCACCTTTATCTTAAGAAGGATGCATTCTCTTAGGTCATGGCAGAACAAGTCGAAAGACACTCTTTGGCACAGCTGACAGCATCTTTCATGAGGCTAAACCGTCATACGTATTTCCCAGCCCTCTTTAAAAACCGCACTGGCTTTTCATCCAAGTTTTCACCAAAAGTAAGTAGCTGCTCCTTTAGATAGGCAATGATTTGCCAGAATGCCATGAATATAACTTGCTTATATTTTGATGGCCAGTAATAATCTTGTTTACACTCTACCATGTAAAGTAAAAAAAGGGTTTAGAGGCAGAAGCTAAAGAGTGGCACACTCCAGGAAAGCCTGTAACAGGTTACACTTAAAGAATAATGAGCTGCTGATTCATAAAGTTTAAATTCTCTTGACAAGCACTTTGAATTTATTTCAGAAGGTCTTGTAACTGCTTGGAAGTTAAAGTAACCCTATCACAATGGAAACATTCTGACTTTATTCCACACAATCTCTAGTGAAATTAGGAATGTCTGAATATTTAGACACTGTAATTTGTTTTGGTTTTTAACTCCTTGAGAGCAAAAGCCCCTTTTCATTAGATAGATCATGTTCACCAAGTATGCTCTGGGAACCGGGTATCAAAATGGTATGAATACACATGTATTTAAGTAGCGCCCGTGAGTGGTTTCATTCTGTGAAAGCTTAATCCTTGACTTGCTCCCATTATTAATCAGTCAAAGGCACTATCTGTTAGGGTAGGGGCACTTACCCTAAAGAAAACACTTACCAGATTAAGATTTGCAGAATAAGGAGCAGGGTCCCAGGCCACCAGAATGACATCTTTATACAATGAGCTGTCAATGAAGTGATGGTTGGGGTTGGTCAGAATCTGCAAATACAAATAAAAGTCATTTCCAAACAAGTGTTTGGTTCTTCAAAATTACATCTTAAAAAAAATGAATCAGAGCAAAAAAAAAAATTGTTCAGACTTTGTCTTTTCCTCTGGGGGATGGACAGAGATGAGCATCGCATGCTCATGTGTGTAAAGAAATGTCTGGGGAAATGAGGGTTAAAAATAAAATCCACTGTCTCCTCCATTTTCACCAGCACTGTCTTCATAGCTGGTGGCATCGAATCAGCTCCTGAAAGATGCCATGCCCTAGCTAATTTGGCACCCCAACATCATCTCCAGTTACTTTCACAGGTGATTGGAGAGGGAGGTGCAATTGTGGATGACCCGCCTTCTGAAGGCGCCTCCAGGGGGTCAGGCTCGGGACAAACGGAATACAGACTGCCGGCTGACAGATGGCAGCCGCGATGTGACTTCCTCCCTCTGTGCCCCTATCTGGTCCTGGAGGAGACCAGGAGACACCTGCCAATCATCTTTTTTTAACTACAGTTTCGGAGGGAAAAAAGTGTTGGTTTTCATCAGTTTTCAGGGGCAATTTTTCAGTTTTTGGGATATACTTTCTTCATATTTGAAGATTTCTCAAGCCAGGGAGTATGTTACAGGGGACACGCATTTCAATTTGGTGGGGTTGATAACGCTGAAAAGCTGGGAAGCTGTGATTGAATGAATGGTGGCTCTTACAATCAACGGCATCTGTGAAGTAAGGAAATATGACGATTGTTTCAGGGTACCATGCAGAAAGCTAATCTTTCCTTCTGCAAGCAACCTGTCATAAATCATCCATCACCTCATGTTCTTTTTATATAGTTTGAAACTCTAGGAACTGCTGTGGTTTTGAGAGTAATTTTGCTCTGAACTTGGAAAACATTCTTATGAAGAACACCAGGAAGAGAAATACTTAACGAAACAATCCATTTTTTTTTAAGTTTTTCAAACGATGGACTAAAGCTTGCAAGCCACCCTAATGACGCTTGGATTTTGTAAACTGTGTTTTTCTCCCCTTCATCACTGGCCTTTCTCACCGTGGCAATTTCTTTTAAATTTAACTGTCTTTCCCTCCATTCATAAAATGCAACATGCTAAGTCTATGATTATGTATGTACATGTGTGTATGGATAGACACGTATTTCCATATGTACACTGATTTTTCCTTTTAATCTTATTTACTCATTTCTTCCTATTCATGTCACATGTAAGTTCCTATTTATCTGCATTTTTTTTCTCAATTCTTTTTAATTACAAGACCCACAGAAATAAGCGAGACCATGGTCATGAATAATGGTAATTTCTCTTCACTCATCCAGTTAAACTATTTACCTGTAAGATGTACATCCACGAGAACACACCATCCATCTTACCTGGGAATTAATGATGCGCACAGTGGTTTTATTTCCAACATCTTTCTCATAGCCGCGTGTAGGAGCAGAGTTAAATCTCAAAACTGCATCATGAGAATCTAAGGACACATAAATGACAAACTTACTGTACTTTTCACTGTCGAATCGACAAAATTTAGAAAAAGCATTAAAGCAAATTTTTCAATACCTGAAGCTAATTAGAAACAACCAATAAAGTTAAGATACCCATACACATATTTTTCAGTATAGTGTCTATTTAGAAGGGGATCCCGGCTAGGGGACAAATCAACATGGAAACATAGGACCATTACAAGTGGTCCCAGTATCATCCAAATGTTAAGCTATATTTAGATACCTGTAATGTGTTCACATTCTTTAAAGGTGACATGCTTTATGTAGCCATTCTCTGAATGATTCCAGAATATTTCAAAGATGGAATCTGTGGGTGCAGGTAAGGATACTGCAGATGGGCTGCTTGTGTGGTTCTTACTGCTTGGAGCATGGAGGCTGCTCATGGTGCCTCTGAGACCGCGGCCGAAGCCAAGACCAAGGGCGTCTCTCACACAGAAAGAGCCACAGCCTTTAATGCGACTTCTATACCTTGGGGTACTGGTTTGTGCTTAAAAAGAAAACCAGCCCTTGGGCACCTGGGTGGCTCAGTCTGTTAGGCATCTGCCTTCGGCTCAGGTCGTGATCCCGGGGTCCTGGGATCGAGCCCCCTTGTGGGGCTCCCTGCTCTGCGGGGAGCCTGCTTCTCCCTCTGCCTCTGCCTCTCTCTTTCTCTCTCTCATGAATAAATAAATAAAAATCTTAAAAAAAAAAAAAAAACAGCCCTCTATAACACCGTATGTTAACTATACTGGAATTAAAACTGAAAACTTAAAAAAAACCCCAAAAACCCAGCCAGGATTTCTGTGCTTCACATACTGCTGCTGCTGCCCAGAAGACCCACGGGGGAGCAATCGAGAGCGTTCTGCGTTCCCAGCAATGGTATGACTTCCCGCCGCAGCCCTGCCGGATGGAAGCACCACCAATGGTACTGGCTGCCAAGGCAGTTTGTCTTCTGTCAGGGCACACCTTGGTTCACTGAGCCTCAACTACAACATAAATCTATGTCTCTCTTCATTCAACTTGACAGATTTTTAAGTTCTCGGAGATCCTGGGTGAAAACAAAGCTCCCATCTCCTGGAGGCGACAAGGACACAAAGAGCTACAGGTAGAGGAGAGTGGGGTGACCTGTCTATCCGATTAAGGGATGGGAATGGGGACATGTTCCCTTCCCACAAAGCAGTCCATATGCATACATATGTCTGGAAATTTCCTGAGCCAGCTACTTGTGTTGCCCAGAAACCAGAGTTAATCAGCAATAAGGGAATTTCTACGGGCTATCTTTAGCTTCAAAAATTCCATGCACATTTCAAGTTGAACTTGGTTGGAACAACAATGCCTGTGTATGTGGGAGAGAGAGAGGGGGGTAAGATTACGTTTTTCTGACTTGCCAAAGAGCCTGTGGATGTACCCTGCATTTACTGTGTCTATACCCCATGCAAGTCCCTAAAGCAGCCCATCTTCTTCATTTGAGTCCTGCTATCCCCTCTTGAGCAGTCTCCTTGGGAGAGACCTTCCTATTCCCTAAGTAGCAGAGACTCGGCACACAAGTCACCATTAAAACAATGTTACATTAGGTACCTTTCTTGAGCTTCTGAGCTCAGAAGAATTTGTATTCCAGTTTCGAGCACCAAAATTAAATAGAACACAAGGAATGCATAAAGGATTCCTGGCTATGCCATTAAAAACTTTTATGGTGTTAGGGACGCCCAGGTGGCTCAGTTGGTTAAGCATCTGCCTTCAGCTCAGGTCATGATCCCAGGGTCCTGGATCGAGTCCCACATAGGGCTCCTTGCTCAGCAGGGAGTCTGCTTCTCCCTTTCCCTCTCCCCTCCCCCTGCTTGCGCTTGCTCTCTCTGTCAAATAAATAAATAAAATATTTTTAAAAAAATTCTACAGTGTTCTTTTAGGGGAACCGCTGAAGGGGTCAGCAAGCTATGACCCGTCACCTGTTTTAGTAAATAAAGCTGTACCATGACACAGACATACTCATTTATCTATTGTCTGTAATGGCAGAGGTGAGTTGTGACAGTGACCCCATGACTCACAAAGCCTAAAATACTTACTACTTGGCTCTTCAAAAAAAAGGAAAGAAAAAGAAAGAGGTTTGCCAATCTTTACGTTCTAGGTGAGCCATGCTTTGCATATATGATGTCAAAAAACATGAACATTTTCTATTTTCTTTATAAGTACTTGTTTGCACATTTTTTATAATGAAAGTTTTATTATTTATTTTTATTGAATAGTACTTTGTCATAAAAATTCAAATGATATTTGTACTAGAAAAATTAGATTACCCAAAGCAGTGCTTCTTACTTTTGGGTCTTAGAACACTTTTAACTCTGAAAATTATCAAAAACCCAAAGTTCTTTTGTTTATTTGGATTAAATTTTTCAATGTATGCTACCTTAGAAAGCAAAACTAAAAGATGTTTATTTATTTATTTAAAAATAAAATATTTTTGTGAAAAATAACCATATTTTAAAAAAAATAGAAGACTGGCACTGGTTTAAATGTTTGCAAATTTCTCTGCCTGGCTTTTCAGAAGACAGTTGGTTTTTCTTATCTGCTTCTGCATTCTATCTGCTGCAATGTATTGATTTAGTTGAATTATGTCAAGACTCAGATATATTGTTGAAAATGTAAGGAGTACTTTAAGTCTTTCCAGATTACTGGGAATATTCTTTGATACTTCATCAAAACTTGACAAGTGCTAGTTTTTTATAAAAAAAAAAACAACAAAAAAAATCTTTTGTAATATGGAATGTGAAACAATATAAATGAACTTTCCATGCTCTGTTCCATTGAAATCCAACCAAATACTTTTTCTTGCTCTCAAAATGGAGGATTCACCCAGGCACGATTTTGTAGCATTGAGCAATGATCATTTGGAGCTATCAGTTCAATCAGTTATGCAGATCTTCCAAATATTGATGCATTTCATTATAAAGTATCCCCGAAAATCACATCAGTTAAGTTACCATGCATCTCATCAGTCTGAAGCATGGGAAGCTTCCAAGTTTGAAACCATGTGTCCATAGGATTGATGAGGTTGAAACTGGCAGAAAGTTTAAAGCTTGTTTTTCAGAAAATTGTTTCCCCCTAATCAGCTATTGTGTCTTTTCAGACCCCACTAACAAGCCCACTGTCTATCTCTGCAGAAGCCTGGATTCAAGGTCAACTGGTACTGTTCCAGACTATGAACAAAGGAGGCCCCACATTCCTTACTCAAGATAACAAGACCAAGACCCCATCCAGTTTAAAATGTCTCTTGAGGCAAACCCATAGCCCCTTCTCCTTGTCTGAAGATAAGCTCCTGACGTCAGGGGCTGAATGCTGGCTCGTTCTGATGTTAAGTCTACACCCAAAGTGAACACGGGATGTATGTTACATGTACGTTTGTTCAATGTGCATGTTCCATCTTTCCTTATGAGCTGTCATAAGTTTCCCTGATCTTTTCATCAATATGTATGCAATTTCAACCCCTGTGATTATAAAAAACTCATTCTCTCTCCCTTTGGGGAGGCAGATTTGAGGCTTGTCCTCTCCTCTCCTGGTTTGGCTGCATAAATAAACCCTTCCCTTGCTGCATACCTGATGTCTCAGTGATAGCTTTGCTGTGCATCGGATAGAGGAACTTGGGTTCGGTTCCAAGTTCATGGTTGAAAGCTTGCATTTTATCACTGGCAAAAAATACTGTCAGCTCTTTTCCTAAAAGTGACAGGCTCACTCAGATCCTTTTTGAGAAAATATCTACCAAATATCCAGGTCTGAATAAAGTATGTCTATCAGTCATTTGTTTCAAGTAAAAATTGTTGTTTCATGATGCAAGTGGCTAGTGCTACTCAAGACTCCATGATGCAAGGGGCTCTTCCACTGTATTGGTCTGCAGAAGTGTGTTTTCACTTTATTGCCCACTTTGTCTTAAAAACACATATACTCAAAGATGGATATTAAATAAAACCAACATTTTTTTCATTTTTTTCCTGCTTCATCAAGGACATCCATAAGTGAAACAGGCACTCTATTCTTTTCCTGCTGAGCATGGCTGGAAGTGGTTGGAGTCTAAAGAGTTAAAAGGTCAATCTTTGGGAAGGAGGCAGGGAGGTAGAGACAGAGGGAGGCTGCTATGGATGGAGAGTGAACCTCCTTAGAGCTGCCAGTAGGATCAGGATGGGAGGGGGGAGCAGGTGGGAGGGGCAAGCCCAGAGTGTGTCTATCATGCAGACATGTTTTGTAAATGTCTGCCTGGCTGTGCATCTCCTTGATAATGCGCCCGAAAAACTAAGCTGTCCATTCGTATTTACAAAAGGAGGAATGGATCAGACAGCAAGCACACAGGGAATAAAGTAAAGCCTCATTTCTGGAGAAGGCATTTCCAGGGTAGAGCCATTTCATGTTGACCTTGAGAACCAAGCCAGGCTACATGCATTCCCTGAGGGAAGATTAAAAACACCCTTTAAGGAGCAGCCAGCCAGGAGGGCACGAGCACTGAGTCACTGCCCTGCCTCGGGCCCTGGCCCCACGGTCCCCTCCTTTCCTGTGCTCCTCCAGAGCACAAAATCAGAAACGGCAAGGGAGCAAAAGCCTCCAATCTTTAGGGAGCTGCCTGCCAAACAGATGATTCATCCCTCTCGAGACTCCGCCGCCCTGGCCTGTCTCACCTCTGCCTGGGACTGCTACAATGTGATGGACTTCCTTTGTGCCCTCAGGTCCAGGCTCTGGAACACTCCCTCAAATGAAAAGCTGACCCATCACTTCCCTGCTTCAGAGATCACAATGCCTCTCCCTGCACCATGGGTGCAGGGGTCAGAGTTGGAGTTTCTGGAGAGGGAGAGTGGGATTTAATGGAGTCCAGGCTCCACCCCTGTGCCTCTAGGTGCCTCCATAAAACAGGAATCATCATATCTTTGGCTTGCAACACTGAACACAAGAGCATTTAGAAACAGGACTTGGCTGCAGTAGATGCCCCGTAAGTGACACCTTTTATTACAATTATTACATGAAGTCTGATTTCTGAAGAATGATGCACGAGGACATCATGAGCTGCCCGCCTGCCTGCTTATCCATTCAGGTCTCTCCCCACTCCCGGCCCCTCGTGCTGCCTGTAGCTCTCACACCCCCTCATTGCCCCTACCCCTGTGCCCTTTTATGTACCCCTACCTCCCACCCCCAGCGCTCCTTGTGTTGTCTCACCTCCTTGTTATCCTGGCCTTTGGCCTGGATTTCCCTCTTCTGGGCAGTTCCTCTTAACCTCCTCTGCCTACCGGCCATCAGCCCTCACGGTGGGTTAGGGTTCTGTTGTCGTTTCTTCCCTGTCAGTCTGCATATCTTTCTGTCCTTCTAACCATGGAACCGGAATTGCCTGTTAGAGTCATTCTCCCCCAGTAGACTGCAGAGGATCTGAGGTTTAGTTCTGTGCCTTATTCATCTTTGCATCACTAGTAGGCCTAACATAGTATCAGGCCTTGGTGAATTGGGGATCAATAAATAATCGATGTTTGTTAAATGACTATATGATCTGCTTTCTTACCTTTTCTTACCTTTTAAGGTATCAGGATATGCTAAGCCCCAAGCTCTTACCATCAAGTACTATATGCCCTGCTTCCTACACACAGCCCTCCCCACCCTCCCATTCCCTCCACACACTTCCCAGAATTTGGGTTTCAAGCACACAGATCCCGATTTCCCATACCAAGGTATGGTATGGGATCCCATACCAATGGCATACTACTGTCGGACATTTCTGCTCTGTCAAGTGTTTGCTTAGGACTGCTGGTAGCTACCAGCACTACCAAATTATTATTGTTTATATGTATGGCTGAAAAAAAAATCATCTCTCGGCTCTAGGAAAGATTGTTCCATGTTTCCAAAACAGTTCAGTTTGCTTTTCAATAACATTCAAAGTGGAGGTGTTTACAACTGCTGCACCGTTCTCAGAAACAGTTATACGGTGTGACTCAAGCCTAACAGCCGGGAAACAGGACCGCACTGCCCGCCTGAGCAACCAGCAGGGGGAGCTAGAGGGCAGTCGATAAGCAAACCGGAGGAGCAACTGGGTCTCCCTCTCAGAGACCCCCCAGTGGCGGAGTATTTATGGAGGGGCCTCCTGGCAGGGAGCTAGCCTCGGGTACTTCCCTAGCTTCTTCCTCAGATTTTCATGAGACCATGACCTTTTGTAAGTCTTTTGATCTTCACTTAGCCAATTTCACAAGTAGATTTCTAGGGTCCGGGATGATTTCAGCTAACTAGCAGAGCACGCCCCAATATTCCAAGTTGCCCGAAGGAATCCACGGCATGAATTTGTTTTTATCAAGAGAGCCGTTAACAACTCTGTTAATAAGCACGTATATATCAGGAGGGTAGGAAGGAGAAATGTCAGCACCTGGCAGGCAAAAGTGCTGAGACTAAGAAACACACTAACTTATAAAAATGAAAGACTTCTTTGTTTTTTCACATTGAACTATGCTCTAATTATGTATTCCTTAAAAAAAAATCTTTATTTTAGAGACAGAGAGCACACGAGTGGTGGAAGGGGCAGAGGGAGGGAGAAAAAGAGAATCCTGAAGCCAACTCCTCCCCATTGAGCATGGAGCCAGGGCAGGCTGGATCCCAGGACCCTGAGGTCATGACCTGAGCTGAAAACAAGAGTTGACTGCTTAACCGACCGAGCCACCCAGGAGCCCCTGATTCCATATTCTTAAAATGGTAGTACAAAATTGGATTCAAAGGAACCAAGGCAAAACAATAAAGAGAATTTCTTAAAATTTCTGAGTGTGTTCTTCAATTATGAGTCTATAACTCTAATCATGAAGCTTCACGTAAGTGCAGACAATATAAATTAAATTTGGATGCTAGAAACTAACAAAGATTTAAATGACATTTCCCATTCCCCGGAAATGTTAATTCCTGATTTCTTTCACACTCTCTTCCAAATTCTGAATAGAGTTTACAAGACTCTGGTCAGGGATATTTATGCCAGAATAAAGAGCAAGAGAAATCTCCCTGACATGCAAGAGCAATCCAAATATGCAACTACTATGCAGAGGTGTTTAAAATAAGGCAAAACAAAACCAGAAGCAAGTTACTGCCTGCTTTAAAGCATAATACTTAAATTCCTTCTTACATTATTAATAATGGTCCTTGGAAACTGGGAAGAACTTCACCCCAGGGAGCTTAAAACCACTGTTGTTCCCTAACCAATGGCAGACTGCTCCGCTCCAGCTCTTGCGGCATGTGACGCGTGGACAGGGTTATTACGAGCCTGCTGTAATGTCAGCTCGGGGATCCTGGGACCCTACACCGCCAGCCCATACTCGTGCCTTTTTTTTTTTTTTACTTTTTAAAAATTTCACATTCAGCTTCATGCCCAAGAACATCTGCGAGGAGGTCTGGGTTGTAGAGCTTGATTACAATGGCATCACCCCATTTCAAGACAGCTCTGGCTGATCAGCCATTCCTCTGGAACACATAACACTAATGGACCCAAGAAACAACGGTTATTCCTTTCGAACAAGTGGGCAATGCCCCTTGACTCTCACTTCCAGGTGAGTTATGGACTATAACACCGTCTACTGTGAGAATGTAGTAGACACAGTTGTTTTACACTGGGACTTAAGGACAAGGCTGTGTCTGATTCACATTTCTTTTTTCTTGGCACCTGGTACAGAAGCCTGCACACAGTAGGGACTAAATACGTGTTTATTAAATGAGTGAATGAGTCTGAAGGGTCAAAATGCTCGCTCACTGGTGTGGCAATGGAATGAGCCTGGGCACAGAGGGATGTCTAAGGCCTTACAGCAAAGACTGAAGTTTCCTGGGGAAGAAGGAATTCTGTTTCCAGTGCAACAGAGAGACGCTGCCTCAATTTCCCACCTGCTGGCCTGCCCTACAGACTTCAGGCTCCAGACTGCAATCTCAACTTTTACCTGAGTTTCCAGCCTACTCATCCGCCCTACAAATCTCAGACTTGCCAGTCCCCACAATTGCAGGAGCAAGTCGTTAAAATAAATCTTTCTCTCTCTCTAAATCCCATCAGTTTGTTTCTCTGGAGAGGCCTAATAGAGGAACTGTGACCCAGATGTTCTCCTGGGCTCTTGACATGGCTCTGAAGGCAGAGTTCAGAAGGAAAGATAGACGCCCGAGGTGTGGTCGTGTGATTTACCATCTTGGAGAAGGGCCCTGCTAGGTGCACTGGCCCTCACCCAAAGGCTGGATGTGCACCAACCAGTGCGATGTCAGAACTCCTTGTTCCGACCGGAAGGGGTCTCCTCTGAGCCCACAACATCCATTGAGTCCCTGGGCTAACTAAAATTACCATCATTTGCACTTCTCTTTGAAGAACTGTTGCTGCCCCGTGGGAGTTCTGCTTTCCTCTCTGGTCCTCTCGCTCCTCTCCCATGATCCTACCACGTATGGGTTCATCAGGCCTCTGTGGGCGAGGTTGGGAGCCTGTCCACGTAGAACATAGGGTCTGCAGGAGACGAATTCTGAGCAGCGCCGGCCTCCCACTCCCCTAACACCCAGCTGGAGGGGGGAACACCTCTGCTCTGATCTCCCTCCCCCCCAAAAAAAGACCTCTGCTGGCACCTCCAACAGGCTCATTCTGCCCCAGGGAGACTCCCCGGCTGGCGTCCGAGACCTCGGGGGCCGGGCCCGACCGGCGCACCCACCAGCCGGCGTGCGCACGGTGGCGAGACCCACCTATCTCCTCGCCCAGGGAGGAGTTGAGGATGGCGCCGGCCGACATGACCACGGCGCAGCTCCGGAGGCCGCGCGGGTGCAGCTGGCTTAGCGGCACCGCGGGGACCAGCTTCTGCCAGCCGAGCGCCGAGAAGGGCGCCTCCTTGCCGTCCAGCGTGCGCACCCGCACCCGGCTCCGCAAAGCGCACAGCAGCTCCGCGCGGCTCAGCTCCGCCGCCTGCCGCCCGCGGAAGCGCACGCCGTGCTTGTTGGCGCTCAGGTAGTCCTGCATGGCCTTCTGCAGCCGCGGGTTGAGCATCTTGGACGAGACGTTTCCCTTCCAGAGCCGGTGGAGGAAGGCCCTGGACATGGACGAGTACAGCCTGTCCCCGTCGTCGCCGTCCTCCAGCACCAGGTTCCCGCCGGGTTTCCGCTGCCTCTTCCCCGCCCGCCTTCTCTGCGCCTGGCGGGCTGGTGCAGCCCCCTCCGACCGGCCTTGGTCCCCGGGGGAGAGGGGCCCCGGCGTGCCCTGAGTGTGGCTCTGCAACCCTGGCTGACCCGCGGCAAAAAAGTAGTCGTCCTCCTCCGGGTAGAAAGCACTTTGCGATTTCCTCCCGATCGGGGATGAAAAGAACTCTTCGTCACTTTCAAACCCATCCTGCACCTGGGCCCACTGCGGCAGGTGGCCCGGCGCCCTGTGGAAGGGGCCCGACGGGCGTCCGTCCAGCAGGCCCTTGTGTGCACCCACGCTCTGGAGCAAGGAGGGTTCCTGCACGGCGCCCATGATGGCCCTCTGCTTCCCCTGCATGGGCAGGAGCCTCCTGGTCTCCAGGAAGGAGAAGGAGCTGGGCGCAGGCTCAGCTGGGTTGCTGTCGGTGAAGTAAATGAACATCACCACGAAGAGGAGCCCCCAGGCGAATATCCCGCAAAGCATTCGTTGTCTCCATTGCTTCAAGTGTGGTTTCATGGCAGGTCTCTGGGGTCAGCACCTTGTGTCCTAAAGCGGTGGGAGGCCGAATGAACCTGAAAAACAGCCAGGTCTACAGTTAGCCACCTGAAGACGCCTGCTCCGATGGTGCAGGCGCTGGGGACAGTCTGGCCTGAGCAGCGTTTCTGTGGGGGAGGGTTAAAAGGGGCATCAGAAACCAGGATCATCTGGGAATTTTGACTAAATTCAAGTGTCACATCCCCTCCCACCCCCCCCCCTTCCCCAGACCGGACCTCTGCAAGACCAGGGGTCCAAGAGAGTCTTGGGAGAGAGGTGGAGGAGTGGCCGTATATTTGGAAAACCTCTGGAGGTATAACCACCTCCCCACCCTGACAGCTACTTAATTGGGGTCGATCCCAATAACCTCTCTCTGCAACTACCTTTATAGAATTCCATTTGGTAAAGCAAAGCAGCTGAATTAAGAAGTAGAGTTGGACCTCTCTTCCCTGATTTATCAGAACACGAAAGGCTCAGTTTCTAAGGGGTGACAACCATATCAGATTCTTCATGGTCTCCCCCAGGCCCTGGAGGCTGCCAGGAACATACCAGAAGTCCACCTATGATCCTGAATAAGCAATGCTTCAGAGACTGTGGCCGTGGGCCAGTGTTATTATACCAGAGTGCCTGTGGACTTCAAAACTACACTCAAATAAATCCCCTCCTACTTCATCCCCATCATGAGTCTCTGATGGAATAGGTGGGAAGTATGTTAACATTTCAAATAAAGGAGGAGATGAGGAGAGAGCTTGCTGTTTCTAGATGAGCTTCCAACAGGGAAAGGATGACAATGGAGGCAGAGATGAAAAGTGTAAGATAAAATGTAAGACAGAAGGAACCTCTTCTTCATACAGTACTGCAACCCATGTTTATTGCTACATTGCTGTGTGGGATAAGACACAGTAATAAGAAATGTACCTAACCTTCAGGAATGTAAGCAAAGCCCCCCAAAGGGGAAAAATATAAGGTATGTGTAATAATACTGGAGCTTACTGGAGCCTAACAATGAGCACAGTGCCCAACGCAGGCAGACACTGAATAAATACTGGCTAAAAGAATGACATGAGCCTGTGTGTGTGTGTATGTGTGTGTGTGTGTGTGTATGTGCGTGTGTTGGGGGCTGGAGGCTGTGTGTTTGGGTGATGGGGTTGGAATTAGGGAAAACTTAACTGAACAGTGATGCCCTTCCAGCCATGGGAGACCTCATAGACCTATCTGGATGTCAGAGCCACAGGTTCTGTGAGAAATGGGGAGGAGTGAAGTTTTCTGAGCAAGGGCGTACCATGCTGGTTGCATGGGCTTTCAGATTTCTGTGTAGCAGGTAAGGGGGACAGGGAGGAGTGTAGGGAGGCAACACAGGGCTCGAGGGGGTCATTAGCAGAAATCAGACACTCAAAGTAGAGTGGGAGGAACTCAGACGGGTACTCCTTCCTTAGCATAGGCTGATGGATGCTACTAAAACTCAAAGGCATGTGAGGTGTGACCAAAATGCAACAGCTGGGGTTTGCACTCAGGTAACTCCTATCAAAGTGAGTGATACCTACATAAACCTAGTTACCGTGGAAGCTACACACTGTCTTTGGTGGTTAAAAAGATATGCCAATGTAAGAAAACCACATTTGCTTTGTGGCTCTGTAGCCGATTAAATATGGACACAGATTCGTTGACTCTCTTCCCATTGAGAGGTGGGGTCTACGGCTCCTGTCCTTGCATTTTGGGGAGGGCTCTGTAACTGCTCTGATCAGTTACTGGGCTCAGGTCCAGCAGCTTCCACTGCCTGCTTCTTAAAATGCTCATTCACAGGGGGAAGCTAGGCACCAACGAAGACATCTCTCTGACCTGAGTCCACCATGCAGCCAAGAAACCCAAGCTCGCCATGTGGAAAGGCCACTGAGCTGTTCCAGCTGTTCAGCCCCTGCACCAAACATGAAGAGTGAAGACGCCCTGTTGCATGTCCAGGCGAGTTGAGCTTTCAGATGATCTAGCCCTGGCCAACCTCTGACTGCAACTGCAGGGAAGACCCCCAGTGAGAACCCAGCTGAGCCCGGTCTACCCAGAGAATCAGAGTGATAGTGATAGATCGTGGATCTAAGCCACTAGGTTTTGAGGCGATTTGTTACATCAGAATAGACCACTGATAGGCGCTAACAGAAATGTGAAATGAGAAGTGCGCCAAATGCTTCCAACACTGGGGCATCCTTGAAATGAGAGTCTAGCTTCTCAGAGATGATTTGAAAAGCTATATTCAATTACATGTATCAGTTGTGGCTTTTAAAAAGTGTTTGCTTTCCCTTGTGTTTGCATAAAGGCAAGGCCATCAGTTTCATTTACAGTCAAAAATCAAACACACACGTAAGGAACATGCATTCACCAAGCCAGACATGCTGATGCCAAGAAATTTACATAGAAGAAACAATGCCAGCAGTTAACCTATGTGCCACACCCCATGCTCAGCACTCTTCCTTCAGTACCTCATTTGCTCCTCCCAGCACCTAGTGAGGTAGGAAATACTGCCATCTCCATTTTGTAAATAAGGAAACGAAAGCTCAGAGAGATTGAGTAACTTGCCCAAAGCCACAGAGGTAGCCAGCCGTCGGCTTGACTCCAGGCCTCACACTTTTAACACTAAGTTCTGACTCCATTCGATCATACCAATGGAAGCTACAAATAAGGCTCCTTAAACTATCTGTGGGGAAGGATCATTTTTACCCCTCCAAACTGTCACAATCTGATACTTTTATATTTCCATTCCTGAATGTCTTGGCAAGGCCCGATTGCTGTAAGATGCTAAATGCTTACTACCAAGTTCCGTACACATCTCATCAGGAGCTGGTAATGAACAGTTTGCAGAGGTGCACAGTCTGGGGACCACACTTTGAGGAAGAATCCACTAAATTATCTTTCTAAACCTGTCCCACCCCAGAGCGTGTGCTTCAAACTGTAATGCCCAACCTGAATATCTAGAAGCTGTTTCCAGGATTTCTACATTTCTATTAGAAATCAGAAAATCACCCTCAATGACAGTTATTCTGTCTTCACCCCAAGTGAGCACACTGAGTACAACTCTGATGCTAACCTCTGGAGTTAGCACCGGCCCACGAGTTAAGGACTCAGTCCCAAAAGACTGCCTGTGCTTCAGACCTCAGCCTTAAGTGGGAACCCCAGGCCACCTGTGCATAATTATGAACACTTGGCCAGCAATCTGGGAGGCTCCCATGACACCCCTCAGGTTCCACAATTAGCTGGAATGAACTCAGAAAGGCCCTATACTAATGATTACGGAGTTTTTTGTAAGGTATACACATAGTTCAAGGTCTTGGCGGGTGGGTCCCAAACAGAGATTCTCTGCCCTCTGTCTGCGGTGTCGGAGAACATCACCCTCTCCCAACATCACTGTGTTCATTAACCATGAAGCTCCACCAAGCCCTGGCATCCAGAGATTTTCCTGGGGTTTCATTTGCTAGGCATGCCTGATTGAATCATTGATTTAAGCATGTGATGGAATTCAGTCCCCAGTCTCCTTTCTGCCCCCAGGGGTCAGGCTGGCCCAAGGTCTTGCTGGTGACCAGCCCCCATCCTGAAGCTATGCAGGGACCCACCAAGAGTCACCTCATGAACATAACAAAGACACTCCTGTCACTCAGGAAATTGCCAGGGTTTTAGAAGCCCCATGCCAGGAACCGAGGAAAAAGACCAGACAAATTATTATACCACAACAAGGCTGTAGTTGCTAATTTAAAAGGCAGTCTTTTTGCTTCTGGCTGGAAATCCTTATTACTTGGTTGTCCCATACTAAGCAACAGCTCTGGGTGCTTACTTGGTGGATTATTAAAGAATGGGGAGTGGAGGTTCTTTGTTCAGCATTTGCTTGAGAGACTATTTTTAAAACGCAGGGTCAAAAGGGGAGGGGTGTGCACAGGATTACTGTGGGGGAAATGATGAAGAGGAAGCCTTGATCCTTTGGGGAGGACCTAGAAAGCTCTGGCCTCGGGGTTCAGAGCTGAGGGTCCTGCCTCCCCTCCCCCCATGCCAGATGACAGATGACCCTTAGCTGCTTCGGAACTTCAGAGTGGGAGTATCAGACATACAGACTTCATTATATAGAAATGCCTAGTTCCCAACTGAAGCAGGCAAAGACTTTTTTTTTTTTTCTCTGTGGGGAGATGACAGACATGGAAGGGAGGGAGAGCAGGTCTGGAGAAAATAAGAGCTTTAAAGGGAAAAGCAGGAGAGAAGGAGCTGTGGTGAGGCCAAGAGCCTGGGGCAGATTTTGTTCTCTCTGCCCACTTTTTTTGGGAAGTAGAAGGGTGGGATTTGTGAAGCGCTCTGAGCACCATGAAAGCACTAGGGATCCCAATGCAATAATGAGGATTTTTCATTAGGTAAGATTTTGTGGCTTTTGATGCACAGTAATAATAGAAAGGAGTGGGATCACTGTCTCAACTCATGATTAGGCTGAACTTTTAATAATCCAAAAGCCTTCCCCGCAACCTCTGTCACTGCAAACCTCCTGCTGCCAATTAAGGGAACATTCTCCAAAATGATTAAATCGCAAGGCAAGAGCAAATCCTCTGCCAGCAAAATGCTACAGAAATCATTTTACGTATCACCGTCATCAGCATCTTTATAAAAATCCAGGTGAGAGAGAGACGGAGGATATCGTCAATGCTATATACATTGGTCATTCTTGCCCTTAAAAGGACCATACAGCCTAATAGGAAGAAAGGTTCAGCTAAGCAACAGAAAAAGGAAAAAAAAAAACAAAACAACACATTTTTTCCCCTCTAATGTGGTATATCTGAAATATTATAATGATATAGCTTAAGCAAAGTAATGTATACTCATTTGTCTATCCCATCATTAGCTGGTGTGATATAAATTGCATCAGGGAGACATAAGAGGTGCATCAGGTGAATCATCTGTCCCTAGGTGCCAATGACAGAGTGTTCCCTGATCTCATGCTCACGTGTGCTCCGTCAGGG